CACACACACACACACACACACACACACACACACACACACACACAAATAAAAACAAACATTAACAAAAAAGAAATGCAAACTTTTGGACCCCTCCACAGACCTGCTAAATCAGAAGCTGAGGTAGTACCAAGCAATCCATGTCTTAACAAAGCTGTCCAGCAGATGCCGGTGCCCACTGAGGTTTGAGGCCCCTTGGGGAGAATAAGGATTCTCAACTTGAGGTGCATATTCCACATTTGCAACACATGAAGAGCTCTTCCAGGGAAAGACATCAACAGAGCTGGTACCACCTTCCTGTGTTGAAGAAACTTTGTAGGTACTTCCCTAACAGCATATCCAAGGGAGAGTCCCTTTTGCTCTTAATATTTTATAAAAACATAACTATATTTCTCTCGATACACACACACATATACACATGTATATGTAGATGTATGTGTATGTATGTACGTATCTATGAATATACATATTTCTCTTTACACTAGTTATTTCCACATTTTATTGGAAGTCAAGGGAAAACATCTCCCAAAACTATAATAGCTTGGGTTGTGATAGTTGAAGTCTTTGGAGCCTTCAAGAACACAGGACTTAGTCATAATGGATTAAATATAAATTTTAAAAAATAAATAGGAAAAGCATTAGAATAAAGCAACCATATCTCAACATTTGGAAAAGTAACACTTATATATGCAGTTTCTACCCCAGACCATTGTTAACGATAATGGTCAAGTAGGATGCTTTGATTTCTTCCTTGGCCTGGAATGCACTGTCCACAACAAACTTAGTTATAGAGTCATAGAACATCAGTCCTAAAATGAATCTCGGAAGTTCATGGTCAATAATTCCCTAATTTTAGGTCCCTGAGTCTGTAGGAACCAGTGGAGGCAGTAACAAAAATCTGGGAATGACTATCACTGTGTTACAAAGCTGAACAAAATGCTATAGGTTCTAAGAATGACTATCTTTTTATCAGAAAGATCACCGAAGATCACACGGAAAGTAAGTTGTACTTGTTGGCAATTCTGACCAGCCAATTTTGTATGTTTTTATTATTAACACATAGGGAAAATGATTCATTACTTAATAAACAGTTTTCTGGTTTACATACCATTTCAAAACATAAGGTCCAACAGTTGGAAGAAAAAGAATCACCGATCTAATTCAAACCCCTAGTTTTTAAGTACGGGAAGGAGAAACAATGTAGTTCCATATATATAGTCCTAATTTTAAAACATTCTCATAGAGGCGTATGTTTCTAAAATTTTTCCAAGCATAGCACATAAAAAGAGGCCTCCCCCCAAATTTTAGATCAATAGTTCAAGTCTAGGACCAATATGGTTCAGAATCTTACGAGTCTAGGTTTGGTGCCACAGTTGAAGTATAAGGTAACAATGACATGTGGCTGACCAAACAGAGACGGAGATCTTATAGTGACTTAATTATATCTGAATCCACATCATTCTTTCTGGTCTGTTTTCTTGTCCTAGCAGCCAGTTAAGACCATCCTCGGAGACAGGTATGAAAAATAAAGGAGTGTATAAAACCAGGCAGGAAAGCAGAAAATATTGGCACCCTCTAAAGCAAGATCAAGTATCCCACAAGCTTAAAGGAAGTATTAGCCCAAGATTCTAATCACTATGTTAAAAGCATCCTGTTTCACAGATAATGCTAAATGAAACTTTTCCCACTGGGTCTGGGTTGCTAACATTTGCAGAATCTCTCACTAAGTGCTGTTGTTCGTTTTCTCTTGGGCTTCAAGTGCTCAGACCGGGTCCCACTATGTTCATATGACACCCCAGCATCTAATAGCACAGTCTTCTCAACCTATAACAATCTTTCACTTTTAGGGACATCACCAGACAGAAGTAGGCCTTCAAGAAATCTATTACGTTTTAAACTGGAGTTAAAATCAGCTGATCAAAAATTCACCAGGACCCCAAAAGTCTATTTTGATAATGCCACTTACGCTGATGAATTTTCAAAATGAATTTTCTGATAGTTGGAGCTAGAGACCCATCATGCCACCTTTATCTCCATTCCCCTCAACTGCCTCACAGAGTTGTAGAAAATGCATATACTTTGCTGTGTTTTGTTTTGTTTTAAGGAATACTCTGGACTGGAAAAAAAATTGATATTAAGAAAGCATATTGACCACCATCACCTAATAAAACAGATAAGAAATGAACAAGATTGGCAAGGCTCTGAACAACAGTCTTATATCGCCTAATGCCATAGACCTCTTTATCACTATCCTAAAAAATGTATCACTCTGAGGTTCATAATATAAATATTTTCCCAAAACAAAAAGCATGAGAGGAATGTTAAAATTATGACTTATGCCTGGTTAATTCCATTCTAGCCGGAGTATGGGCTATATCACGTGACTAAAGGGAAATTTTCCTGAAGCAGTTTCCTGCATGGTAGGTACACTGAAACAGCTGAGTGGTCATCTGCATAAAACAAAAGTATTACAATAACAATAACAACAGGAAGCCAATCATGGATGCTTACTACATCTTTCTCAACTCTGAAAAACCTAGTAAGTGGAACAAGGTGTCTTTACCTCATATTTCTAAGTAGAACCTAAGAAAGGACTTCCTCTATCTGGCAGAGCTACATATAAGTAAGACGGAGAGTAGTGAGTTTCCCATCCTTAGATGTCTTCAGGAGGGCAAAAGTTAGAGTATCTCTCAAGAGCTGATAATAAAGGAGCCCTGCTTCAGGTGGAGAAGGTGATGTGAACGTTACAGGATTTTCACCAAGGTATTCACTTCAGAGAAGATGGAATTTTCCAGAAATTAGGTCACAGGCTGACTTGGCCACCTGCAGTATTTATTTTGCGAACTAAAACCATTACTAATATTATGAAATCACAAAACATCAAGGACAAATAATTTTAAATTGATTAAAGAAGGAAAAGGACGACAGTAATAATCTTCAATTTCCTAAGCACAAGGCTGTGTGAAAGATGCCCTAACAGTCTTGGAAAAGCCTTGACGTGACGTCCACTTTACTGAAGGAAAGACACCTCCAAAAAGTTAAATCACTTGTGTAAGGTCACAGGCTGGTAGGTGGCGGAACGGGAACTGGAGTTAAGTCTGTCTGATTCTACCCTGACGCCATGCCCACTCTTGCCATGAGCCGTTTCCCTCAACCATTTCACACGTGTTGACATCTGTCACCAATAGTAGTTACATTTTTCCAAACTGAACTGTTTCATAGTATCATAACTCTAAATAGCTTAGCTGGGGTTCCTCTTCATTGGTGTTTATCGATTTCACTACAAAACTCCAAACCGAACACCTTGTAAGCATTTTATAAAAGTAGGCTATAACAATCTAGATAATGCTTTTCAAAACATATCAGGCTATATATAATGTCCTTTTTTTTTTTTTTAACATTACTAACTCTGAAGTTAGACCTCAGTGCACTTATATATCCCTTTTTCTTTAATCAATAAACTAGAATTTTCAGAAATGTATTACAATTATGGAAGATTTGAACTTGTTTATCAAAGGACACACAAACCACACTAAGACTAATGATAATGTGTTGATACATTAGGGTAGTCTGGTATTGCTTAAAAATTAATCAACTCTTTTGAAAATAATTAAAAAAAAACACCAGGTGATCAAAGTCCCTTGTTTTAGAGACAAAGAATTCCCAAAGTCTGACTACCTGAATAAAAAGTACAATAGATTTTCTATCCCAAAATTTTTTGCAATTTCACTGCTGTAGACTAACAACAATAGGTTACAACCTCGTTTTTCAATTGTATTTCTGATTAACACTGTTGTTATTCCAGCAGTGTTAAAAACATACAAGTCAATTCAAGTTGTTCATTTTTGTCAACAACCCACATTGTGAGAGGCACATTTAGGTATCTTGGGGTAATAGAACTGTCATGGGCTTTGTTGCCACTAGACCCACATGCCAATATAGCTCTGCCACCAACTCTACGACCTAACATCAAATTCTGTCACTGGTGTTTAAATCAAAGTATTTTATTAAACACTGATTTTCTCTCCCTTTTCTATGGCTTGCCATAAAGATGTGTGCATATGTGTTTATATGTGTGTGTCTGTGCATATATATATTTCTATATACACACAAACACATATATAGCTACAGAGTACAAATACTATAAATGAATCAAGATGAGATTTAATATCAAATATAATGCATCTATTCAGTTATTTTTGTTTTCTTTTTTGAGACTTAAGTCAAGCTGATCTAATTACTCTTTATGCTCAAATTTTTTACTTTCTTTTTTTTAAAAAAAGTTGTTTATTTATTTATTTTGAGGGGCGGCGCCCCCCCCCCCCCACGAGCAAGGAAGGGAAAGAGCAAGCGGGAGAAAAAGAATCCCAGGCAGGATCCGTTCTGTCAGCAAGGAGCCCGATGTGGGACTCAAACTCACAAATTGTGAGATCATGACCTGAGCCAAAATCAAGAGTCAGAAACTTAACCAACTGAGCCACCCATCACCCCATCAATTTTTTTTTACTATCTTTATAGTAGTGCATTGTAAACAAATACAGTTAAATCTCGGTTTGTGAGCATAATTTGTTCCAGAAACATGCTTGTATTCCAAAGCACTCGCATATCAAAGAGAATTTCAAGAACCATTGGCTCCGTTATGATCATGTAACATTCGGGACCAGGTACTACTCATATTGCAAGATACTGCTCGATCATCAAGTTAAAATTTATTAGAAATGTTTGCTTGCCTTGCAGAACACTTGCAGGACAAGTTACTCACAATCCAAGGTTTTGCTGATACCACTAAAATGACATTAGGAACACTCCTTGGAGAATGAAAAGAAGTAGAGGATATGAACATAGAGTAAATATAATAAGAAAGTGAGGAAAACATTTCAGATGGAAAAAATAATAGTCTTAGCAGGAAGCTTCCTAAATGGCACAATCACTGATCAAACTTGAAAAGTTGAAGAACCTGGACGAAGATCTGAGAAGTCAGATTTTTCAAAGTCAAATTTCATAACCCTCTGGGATAAAATTTAGGGAACAAATTCTAGAAAAAAAGTGACTAAGAAAAAAACCTCCCTAAACTCCACACAAAAAGGCCTCATGACTTCATGACTTTTCTATGAAGAAAAGCAACATAATTAAGGAACGAGAATCTTGCCCACCTTCCATCCTGAATACCCATGCAAACTTGCTAATCTCAATGACAGTCACTGATGTATGCTCCTTTTTCTTTCTCCCTTTTGTATCGTCTGGCCCTGTATTTGGATTACTACTGGCCCTCCTCTGTATTGGTTTTATGTTACAAAGTTCATGAAATCAACTTCCCCTTTTCCCCTTTGTTCTTAGGGCCATCACAGGGGGACCTCCAACAAGACCCCTATGTTCCTCAGAGGCTCCTCCTCCTACCCATCCCGTCCCCACCATCATCAGGGATCACTGTAACATAAATGCTCACCTTTCCAATTCTCTTGTTTCACAAATATTGCTTCCTCCAAGAAGCCTTCTAACATGCTTCCAGGCAGAAATCATTGTTCCACCATCCAAGCTCTCACATTTCATCTGGTCTAGTCTTACAACATATAAAACTTTCTGCCTTGTACTTCGGTTCTGCTTTTGCACATCTTATTTCCAGAGCCCTCGGGAGACAAAGGCTATGCCTGATTTCCCTCACTATTTACCACAGCAATCGGTACAGCACTTTACATACCCCAGTGCTTCAAAATGCTTTAACTTGGGATCAGTATTCCTGGAAGCAAAGATTAAGTCAAAAGAATAACACAGTTTCTTCAAAGTTGAAAACTTTGAGGCTGGATTTAGTTAGCAAGAGCTCTGACCTCAAAACATGATTATGCACAAGGGCATCATATCAACACCAGGATGTCCTTTTGTTCTTGTTTTATGGTGATTTACTAGCAGAAGGTACTTTCAGATGTGGTCAGCACTATTTTCACAGGTTTAAGGCATGTCTTGACTATCTTCAAAAAATCTGTATTAGAGTTTTAATGAAGTCATGGTTGTCAAGACACTGGCAAGAAGAAGCATTACTTCCCAAGCTGACAGCAGAAAGAAAAAGTACCTCTGCTGCTGCTTTTATTTTGTTTGTCCACGTCTGTCCACAGACAGATTTGCAGCAGTATCTTTACATTTTCCCCCGATTTTTTAACTCATCTTTAAATTTTATTTTTTAAAAATTTACTACACCAAAGTGAAAGGCATAAAGTAAAAACAAATCATAATCAAAATGATGTAAAGCAAATAATCAGCACTGAACTGGTGAAATTTATATAGAAAATTGAGATAAAAATGGAGATGAACTACAAAAAGCTATTACAAAGAAATATTTTTTAAATTTAAAAACACTTCTGATGTTTTTTTTTTTTTTCCACTTCCTACTTTATTCCAAGCCCGCGTCCTTGGATATTCTTTGTAGAAGATCAACTAAATCACACAGGAGAAATGGAGCCAAAAAAATCAGGAAAGACTTGACATATGTATGATTTTCGACTTATGCAAATCAGATACAAAATGTGAAAATGATCAAGGACGATGCCAAACCTTGCCTCTTTCCCCCGGATATGCACACTGGCTGCCTATATATCTGAGAAAGGAGGCAGAGTGGGAGATGTACCCAACCATGCACACCTGGCATAAGCGGGGACACACAACTAAGGTAAGTAAGTACTGTCAGCTCCCAAAGGATCACAGCTTAACCAAATCTCAGGAAAGAGGCAATGAGGCCTGTCGGGGTACTGGTTCTCCCAGACTAATTGAACTTGAGAACGTCCATCCATTCTTCATTTTGAAAGGGGCCAGTGTCAGCTGCTGCTTTTGTCCTTCTGTTTCTGGAAATTAGTATGGGGGCTTTGAGCTTTATCTAGTCTTGTATTGCTCAAACAGCCTGGTGTAGGTGACCGGGGATAAAACAAGGTTTCAGTCCTTTTTTCCTGCAACCTTCTCAGGTCTCTGAAATCTGCATGTAAACCATAAACATACAGATCTCCCCCTGTCCCAACAAAAAAAAAAAAAAAAATGACACCTTTCATAGACATGTTCCCAGGGAGGTGACAGGCCTTCAGCCATCAGGTTCTTCTCATAAAAGCAGATGTTCAAATGTCAGCATCTAAAGATCAGCCCTCAAAAACGCTCTTTTCTAAATCCACTATAAATAACTAGAGACTTGTATCTGTTTTTAGTATCAAACATTTGTTTCATTAGATTGAGCTGCATTTACAATCACTGGTCAAATATTCTTAATCCCAGGCACACTGGCTCATAATACATTTTAGATAGACTTTTTAAAAAGTGCATCTGCAGCTAGACTTACTGAAATAGGCCTGGCAAGAACATGTTTTTGAGGGGACCAAATCCCAAAGCAAAAGTCTTAAGGCAGGAAAATCTTTTCTTGTTTAATTTTTTTAATGTTTATTTATTTTTGAGAGAGAGCGAGACAGAGCACGAGCAGAGGAGGGGCAGAGAGAGAAGGAGACACAGAGTCCGAAGCATGCTCCAGGCTCTGAGCTGTCAACACAGAGCCACGAAGCACGAGATCATGACCTGAGCCGAAGTCAGACACTTGACCGACTGAACCACCCAGGAGCCCCATTAAGGCAGGAAAATCTTAAGGCTATTTTCTTAATGGTTTGCAATTGTCCTCAAAGGCTTCATCTGGCCATTCCCCAAGTCTACAAAAGATAAAATGCCATCATTATTAACCAGATGTGACTATCAGATATTTCAGGAAAGGGGTACCATTTGTGGTTTCCAAAGTGTTAACCTCAAGCTTCCAAGACCCTCTGCCCTAAGAGTGAAGATCCCTGTCCGAGATCTCAGGGAGCCTCCAAGTGGTCGGAAGTGAGGAGGAGTCAGGAAGAAGAGACACCAGGAGAGAGTATCTCCCAACTGTGTTTCAACCAGGCCTTTCCTGAGCTTATCCGTTTTACCCATTACTTTCTTAGATAACCCCTAGTGATTTCATTTGAAGGAAGAATTCCAAATGTTCTTCTGAAATGCTGAAAACTTCTGTCCTAGATAGACTCCCTTGATCATAAGCCCAGCCCACAAGGAAATCACTGAGCTGGATAACCCAGGAAAACCATTACCAGTCAGCTCTTCCACTCCCAACTAGTTCCCTCTGATGATAATCCAGGGGAATTAACATAGCAATATTGTTCCAGCAAGTCTAGAGAAATTCAGTTTCCTTATGTTATGAAATACATGAAATAAAGCCTACTAACCAAACAACCCTTTATTTTGGCACATTTATAGACCACAAAATATGATTGTGAGCTGCCACTGCTCACAGGGGAGATTTAATGGTGTTACAGAATAAATGCCAGGGCTCTGTGGAATAAAGAAATCTATTTTCAGCTGAGATTCTCAGCCAGAAGTGTCTTCCCACTAAGAAGTGTGTGAAATTTCAGAAATGTAGAAGCAGAGAGGTAAAGCACGTCAACACCCTCTAGCCAAAGACCACCAGCAGCACATCTGTAGTGGACAAGCTGGGTTTACTACATGTTGCATGGAGGGAGAATGCACACCAGAGGGAACCACGAGCATTTCAGTAAGAGAGCGTTAGAAAGAACCTATTAGCAGGACTCGGGCTTCCGTTGGGTAATTAGGGGGAAGTCTAGAGAAGCGGGGCTTTGTTCTCTATTGAATGCTATCAGAAAGCAGGGGCAATTCAATGACTAAACATCTCAATAGGTCTTACCTATAAGTAGGATAGACTAGAGCAGGAAAAAGCTGTAAATGGTAAAGAATCAGTAGTCACTCATAACTGATCATCTTGCAAAGAACAGGAAAAGGTCACACTAGTCAGGAACAGATATTATTCTTGGCCACACTGGGTAAGAACCAGTGTCAATTCCTTTCTGCAGAAGACTCTGATGCTGATTTCAGAAACCCAGAGAGTAATATATTAGTTACTATGCATATCTATGTCTAGATCGAATTCTAGACATTGGCTTTGGATATGTCACTCAAGGCATTTTTCTGTCCTCTTAAATAACACCTATATTAAAGTACCTTTCCTGTGATCATTTCATATAGTTACCTGGGATAGGTAGACTATACCTTACTATTTCAGTCAAGTATCTGATGTCCAGAGGAGTAAAAACACCTAAGTGTCATTGCTTGCTGTGTAAACTATCTGTGGTGAAGAAACCATTTTCTTTCTCCCAATTGGTCTTGGACTATTTTGTAAAATACAACAAAAATTAATTACTAGAAAAATTAAATGATAAAACGCAAAACACAAGCCCCATTTTTATTTTATTATCAGGCCCAATGCAAATACAATAATTGTCAAATTGGTATAAGAGTTTCTATATATATAGTCTCACTTTTGGTATTTCTCTTTTCACAAGCCTGAGTCTGTAGACACACTTTGAGGACCATTGGTTTTTAAATTAAATTAAAGCATTCTTTACTACAAACTAATTCTGAGAGTGAGGCCCATTTCAAACTCACATAGCATGCCACAGGTTACATAAGAGAAAAGAGATGTAAGGCGTTTCACTCAGAAGGCCTTGCTATAGAGCCCCCAATCTTAGTGAAAAATAAATACCTATGGCTGTTTCTTATAGGCAACAGCTTGAAAGGACACATGTAGAAAATCAGATCACTGGAATGCCATCTAAAATCAACATAACCAAAAGGATTACACTTCTAGTCCAGGTAGAGCTTCAGTAGAGACTTAACTATATACTTGCTGGGCTGGGATTTATCCATTGGTCGATTATAATCAGAGCCTCCCAGGGGTACCTGGGTGGCTCAGTCAGTTAAGCGTCTGACTTTGGCTCAGGTCATGATCTCACAGTTCGTGGGTTCAAGCCCCATGTTGGGCTCTGTGCTGTCAGCTCAGAGCCTGGAACCCGCTTTGGATTCTGTCTCCCTCTCTCTCTTCCCCTCCCCCCCACACACTCTGTCTCTCTCTGAAAATAATAAACTTTAAAAAAAATACTTTTAAAAAGTCAGAGCCTCCCAGGGCAATGGCTTCATAGCCCATCAGGTTAATCCTCAGGCATCTATGTTATCTCAGTATCCCAGCTTCCCTTTCTAAGGTCAAGAAATGTCAAGCTTAAATCCCTTCCTTGCCAGTTAAAGGGGAAAATGGGCTCAGGAATCAGCCAAGTTTATTTACATTCCCTTCAATTAAACTTCCTACTTCATCTCAGCTAAGGGCTTATCCCATCCAATGCAATCCTGCAATTCTTTGAATTTGTCCCCAGCTCAACAAAGTGGTCCTGGTGTTATCCCACCAGTCTGGTGATGTGCTCTCCGTGACCCTGCTCACTGCTCTTCCTGCCCTCATCTTCACTCCTCCTCCTGGCACATGGCTACTCTGAGCTGGAAACTCTAGAAAAGGCCTCATGTCACATACCCACATCGTCAGCACTGCCTTCTCTGCAGGCCAGACCCACCCTTTTCCTGGATCAAGCTGAAGGTCTGAGCCACTTATCTCTGGCTCAAAACTCTGTCCTATCCATAAACTCTCTCCAGAAGATATTTCCCTTAACTACAATTTTTCAAGTTAAACACGACGCTACTCTACATACATATGCCAAATATTTTGACACTTAAATTCTATGGCAAATTTGACGTCTTTGAGCTGTAGGATGGTAACCATTATTCCTTTCACCATTTCACAGTGCCTAGAATAGCACTCAGTCCATTACTGGCTCCCACAAACATTATTTAATTAATTAACTGATGGGTCAAATAATGGAACAAATGAATACTTGCAATGTAGTACAGACACGCACTCAACATCCATGTATACATGTTTACACTGTATCTTAAAAGTGAGAAATTAAAGATTCCTAATAATTAACATTCATTCCTACTCTATATTTTCCTCTTCCTTATAACAATGTGTTATTGCCCCAGATTCTGTCTCTGTGATTAGATCATTTGACTTGTACAGTAAGAAAAATACTGATTTCTCGGTCAGGTTTAAAAATGCTTTCTTTGCCTTTTTACCTTCCTTAAACTGATTTTCAAGCTAATATCCCACATCTCAAATCTTAACTAGGAAAATAAAAAGTACACACTTTTTTATGCTAGAAAACTAAAAAATAACACTGAATTAAGTTTTACACTCAATATATTTTACTTACAAGTATTATAAAACAGTACCTTTTATATAATTTATTTTCTTTTATATCTTAGTAGTACTGAATCAAGCTCTCTCAATGAATTACTTTAAACTTAGTCCTCTAGAAAGTATTTCTTTATTTCCCAGTCAGTGACTTCATAATTCCCATCTATTCAACCTTTGTGTAGAATGAGAAGAATTTGAGAGATTCCTTATGCCTTCAGACCCCAGAATACCACCTAGCACCAAATGTGAGCATATATATATATAGATCCTAACCTAATGGAATCCAACTTGAAAACATGGACCTGTTCTATTCAGTTTTCTGTGTGGGCTTTTAAAAGCCTACAGAACATCAGGAGGCAGTACAAGACTGTAGAAAAAAAGCCTAAAACAATGACCTGACTAGCATTTGATAAAACATATGTATCATAACTCCTCTGGGTTGGGCCTATGCATAGAACAAACAACAATAGCAAAAAATTAATGGTATTGTTGCAAGACCAGCCAAGGTAGAATAATCACAAGCAGGAACATAAGGAATATTTTGAGAACTCCCAGAAGAGTGACAAAAC